ATTTTCAACTCTATAAAGAACAACTTATCAATATTAGCGTATTTAGAATGACTTACGCTATTTTTCTTGCCTTGACGTTGATTTTTCATGAAACAATAGTTTGCATCTTCATCGCTATCACTTAAGCTTTCATTAATTGAGGCATCGATATCACTATCCCAAGCAACATAGGCCTTTCTAGAACTCTTATAGTTGTTTCTTTGGCCATTTCCTTTCTTATTGGCAAGATATGGACACTCCGGTCTATAATACCCAGATTTCCGCATTTATAGCATATACCTTTTCCCTTATCCTTTAGTTGTCTTCATCTTTAGAGGATGTGGATTGTCTTCTAAAATTCACAAGATTATTGTTGGAGTGTTTTACATCATTCTTTCTAATGTATTGATTGTATCTCCTTACAAATAATCTCATTTGTCCATCATCTGAATTCTCTTCATCAGTAAAATCACTATCATTAGAGTGCTCCTCCTTTTAGGAATTTGAGCTTGAAGCCTTGAGAGATTTATACTTTAATGCTTCCTCCTTAATGATCCCTTTTTCCTTTTCCTTTTCCTTTTTCCCAAGTTTCTTTTCATATTTGTCCAAGCAATTAAATTCTTGCTCGTGTTCTTCCAACTTTCCAAACAAGGCGATGAGATCAAGTATTGCAAGATTATTGGCTTCCTTGATCACGGTGACCTTTGGTTGCTAATTTCTAGTAAGACATCTCAAAACCTTGTTAGTAGCAATAACATTGGAAATAGGATTACCTAGTAAATTTAAACGATTAATAAGATGTGAGAATCACTTTTGAATTTGAGCAATGGTTTCACCATGCTTCATGCAAAACAGTTCAAACACATGATTAAGTGTATTAATCCTATCTTATTTGACCTCATTGGTTCCCTTATAGGTAACTTGTAGAGTATCCCATATAGATTTAGCAGTTTGACAATGGGAAATGCAATAAAACTCATCAAGTCCAAGAGCTGATATGATAATATTTTTCGCTTTCCAATTGCGTGCCCACTTCTTATTATCATCCTCATTCCATAATTTTTCCGACTTTGGTACGGTAACATTATCAACAACATATGTCACTGTTGTTGGACCATTTTGAATGACTTCCTAAACACCTTTGTCATATGAGTTGACATGAATTTTCATACAAGCTTTCCAATAACTATAATTTTCTCCCGTGAAAATTGGAGCTCTTTTAGAATCCCCTTTAGGTTTGCAAGTCATTTTCTAAAGAGTATCGAAGTCAGAATGAATCGGGATTTTGATGCCACTTGTTAGATAACGGCAACATATCTAGAGGGGGGTGAATAGATACCCAATTTAAAATTCCAAAAATTCTGGTTTTGAAAAATGTTTATCAAATAGTTTGAGCGGAAGAGCTTTTGAAAATAAGTCGTCTATACGAACATTATTGGAAACTCAGATATGCAAACTTAAAGACAAATAGAGTATGGAATAAGATTGACAATTGAATTAATATGCTTGAATCATTTTACAACTTATTTAACATTTATAGCAAGTTACTAGTAAAGCTATTTCCAATGACAATATTCAAAATAACAAACAAAATCAATTTGTGAAATACTTAGTGTGCAAGTGAATTTTCATAATTTTTCTTTGAGTTGTGTTGATACACAAAAGCACTTATAATCAAAAGTGATTATAAGCAATATCAACACTTGATTTAAATCAAAAAACAGTCCGGAAAAATTCTTACAATTCAATTGATAACGCAATGCTATTTGACAAATTGATTAATGAAAATTAAAGCAAGTAAAAGCAATATGAAAAGAGACGCCAGGATTTGTATTCACAGTTCCCCACTTTCATCCTTGCGTGTGGATACGTTTGTGCCTAATTCCAATAGAATTAGGATAATTCTTTCTATGCAAAAAGTTGATACAAGAGAAGTTTTCAAGAGCAACTCCCTGATGCTTATTGTTGATTCAACCCCTTCTCTTCTTTTGATCTTGAGAAATACCAAGACACAATAGATCACAATTGAGTTGTTGATATTGCTACTCTTTTGCATTCTTTATCTCCAAATATTTCACGCACGAACGATCAAATTGTACCTATTGTAAACACAAGACTTCAATTGAGACCTTCCTTTCTCTCGCTACTTCCTTTGCGTTCTTTACCTCCAAAGGATCCCTTGAGTTCTTCATCTCCAAAGGATCCCTTTAGTTCTTCATCTCCAAAGGACTTCACTTGGCCGCAATCACCTCTCAAATGTCTTGCACGAAAACCCCTAAATCACCAATGATCTTGGAGGATAAACCTATGGTTTTTCGAATAAAGACCCCTACAAATATCAACCCAATATTCTCGGCTACACAAAAATCTAATTGGACATTATCAAATCTCGCATAGATGGCACCCCAACAAAGAATCTTTATAATGTTTGTTAATGTGTATGCATAGGTTGGAGGTTGAAGATGAAGAGTAAATGTAGACTAATTTTATGGTATCATTAAGTTGTGAATGATGCATGAATGATGTATTTATAGTTTTTAAAATTTAGGGCAAAAATGACTTATTCAGAATAAAAATAAATTTAAAAAATGATCAAAACAATCAGGATGTGTCGACCTATAGATCATAGGTGTCAACACATACGTTAAGTTTAAGTTGTATGTGTCGACCCAAAAGAAGGTATGTGTCGACCGAAACGAGTCAGAGGCTACAGGCTTTAAAACAATAGTAAATATGTCGACCTATAAGTCGTATGTGTCAACACATAAAATAATAATTTCTGCAATTTCAGAAATGCTTTAGTTTGTGTCGATCTATGCAATGCATATGTCGACTTGAGTCTTCTAGAGGCTACAGGCTTCAAAATTGAGTTGCATGTGTCAATCTGAAAAACGGATGTGTCGACACATGTAATAAAAAGTTTATGCAGAAACTTGTTTTTAATTACTTGGATCAATTTCAAAATGATTTTTAATGATTCGTAAGACCTCTAATGTAGAGGAGTGCCGCAAGACATGGAGATATGTCCAAGGTACAGAAGTGCTATCTTTTCCCAGTTTTGACATCATGCAAAACATCTAATGACGAAGTTGTACTCACAATACCTTGAAGGACATGTCCCGCCCCTCCTTGAGATTGTGTCGTTCGACCATGGTTTTTTAAATAGATCCTAATGTTAAATATGGATTTAAGGGTGGCGCTATCGTTGTTGCGTTATCCACAAACGTAGATATGTTACTTTGAAAGCTCGCCATCAACGTAGTTGACATGACATAAGGATAGTTCATACCACCTGAGGGTAATGTGAAACTTAGGACATAAGAAGGCCTAGGGTCTCCTAAGATGACCTTCGTAACCATGGGTGTGGTTTGGACATTCGTTACTGGTGGTAGGGAAACTACCACTCCTGGTAACGAGGTTGAAGTCAGCATTTGACTTATAACAAGATTCGTTACTCCAATAGAATTTAGCGTTCCTGCACTATCAATCGTTGGTTCGACAGGTTGTTGTGAATTTGAAGTATCATTTTGGAGAAGGAAAATATTCTTTGGACGTACCATTTCAGCAAGAGTTCTACCACTTCTCAAACGCATAAAAATCCAAACATTGAAAACATTTTCTCATTTAAAATAAGAAATTTGTGATATACACAATTTTCTTACTAGAATTTGGAATTTTTTCACAAAAAGATCTCACTGGACGTGTCAATTTATTTACTGGTGTTTTTAGTAAACAATCACAAGTTTAATTCACTTAAGAGAATAACTTGAAAAATCTCAAGGACAACCTGCGCAAAGGAAAGGTACAATGAAAAGTGTATGTGATTTAGATTTAAATATTTGGACAATGAACAACTAGATGTAAACAATAAACTTTGGATAAAGATAATAAACAATAAACAAAATAAATGACATTTAATGTAAATGTTTTGAATACAAGATTTCAAAGAAATTAAAAAGTGGGTGCGAACTCATACATTTCTCACAACCTGTTTCGCTATATAACTTGTATACTTCAAATCTATAGATAATACATAGGACTTTTGTGGCCCCCGTCACAACACTGAGGTCGATTTATATACTAATACAATGTTAACCGTCGATAATGGTTATCTCCATAGAACCTGACACGTTTTCCTCTACCTGGACTTCATTCAAACTCTTGATTTACTTCAATGCGTCTTTAATGTTCGACTGCTGAAAACCCACTATCATTTTAATAATTGCCTTAAAAAACCTTAATTGTCCCTGTCTAGAGATTTTGACTTATTTCCAAAAAGTTGTCGAGACATCTTTGATTTATTTGATTCTTAGCCTGGAAATATGCTAACTCCCCAACGTCTAATTGATGTGTCGAACACACTTTGTCAAATGTCTGATATATGCAAACATTTTCGACATGTTTTGAAGAGAGTGGTCTTAATCTCGTAGATCTGTTCTTCAGACTCTTCCAAACCATGCTTACTACGTTAGTCGAACATTCTTGGTCGACGTAACCAGTGTGTCGAAAACTAAATGTTTTTCACCTTGTCAAATCCTTTAGCTAAAATTTTCAAACTAACAACGATATGTGTGTGAGGAAGATGAAAGGGAAGGTAAAGGCATGAAAAAAGAGAGAAAGAGAATGGTAGTAACTACCTTGTTCCAGATCACCAAATTGAAGCCCAGTGCAGTCTCAATACTAGGTGATAATGGTCACATATGGTTTCATGTTTCAATCAAATTTAGCCTAATGAAACAATAGAAAACATAAACTTCTAGAAGTTGGTTATCAAACTTAGTTTTGAACAGGTTTACAATAACAAATCATAACAAGTCTAATGAAACTATCATTTAGCCTGCCAACAAAAATTTTGCATAAGGTAGTGAGTTCAATTAAGTACAAAATCCACAACATCTAGAACTAGACAAATATATACATGAAATTAGGAATTGCATAGAACCAATGGCCTATCCGATGCAGGTTTTTCCAGACTCTTATATTCGACAAGGTTAAATGGAAAGTTGCATCGGCATGTTCAATCACATTGGCATGTCAGGATCATCTTCGTAATCAAAATCTTGTTCACTTGACACCCTTGCTCTCTTTGCATCTCTTGGCGCACCCCTTCCTTTCTTCGGTTTACCCCTATGATGACATGACAAATTTTTAGATTATGCAGCATACACTGTTTACATGTTTGACAAGATTTGTGAAACAAATTTCAATAATTAAACAATTATTTAATTCAAAAACATTAAGGGGGAGACATATTAGTTGAGTGCTTACTGTCCATTTGCATAAATTGTCCCGCCTTTTGAACGACCAGGACCAAAATCTGATCTCCCGTCTGAGATAAACAGAAATACAGTATATAATTAGTTGACAAAAAAATCAAGCAAGAAAATTCATTGAAATGTTGCTAATAGGATCTCACCATCTCGTCCAACCGCAAGCTCTTCTGCCTACGATAAAAAGATGAAGATCATCTCAGAACTCAGAAATAACGTTGCTGAGATAAGATGCCACACTTGATATATGGACTATGATTAAAAACATAATTGAGAAAAGGCTTAAAAGGATGAATCATTTTATGGGATCAAGTACACCGAACAACCATATGATCAAAGAGTCTAGGAGGAAATTATAAACTGTAGTTATTGTCTTATATTTGGAAAAAATAAACCTCATGGTTGGACATTATTTATTACTTGGTGCTCAGTAGTTGACATTATTTATTTTTATTTACTTATGGTTGGAAGCCTATCACTGAAAATCAGAAACACACCGCTGGTGAGGACACTGAAGATAGTGAAAAGAGCCTATCTTCAGGCTGAAACTTTCTAGACCGCTTCAAGCTGCAAAGAAGAAGAAAAAAATCAACAATGTCATATAAACCATGAATAACAAAATGGCGTGTCATCTAGCTAAGATGAATAGAGGCATGCAATCCATATATTACTATTTCTTTTGACATGGAATCAGATGTATTCAAAGGCAACTCAATGAACTGCCTTTGCTTCTCAGTATTTCAAACAATTATAGTCCCCATCTAAAACCTTAGTAAGATTCAATTGCAAACACATCTGGCTATGTCCCAGTACAGTATCACCGTGTGTAGCATTTTAGCAATCAATAAGCAATAAAGCCCGTGATTCAGCTTTTCCCGACCATAAACTAATCAAAATTATGGAAGACCTAGCCAGATCTCTAATAAATATGATTTGTGACAAAGTATAACAAACTGGATGCGTGATAAATATAATTTGTGATCAAGTATAACAGATCATACAAGTATGGCATTACCCTTCCTATTTACCTTAGGATAATCAGAATTCAGTACTACAAATCCGGACAGAAAATATTGACAGTATTTCCTCAGAGAAATTAAACACATCCCATAAACTACCAAATTCTGAAAGAAGGAAAGAAAGAAAGCCAAAGAGATTCATACAATGCAGTGTTCTTTGTTGAAGATAGAAATCCTTCAAATCCCTTTAACACATTGCCACACTGTCCAGGATCCTGTAAATAACTTGTCTCCATATCATAAACCTGTGTCAAGAACAGAACGTTAGCTACTGCTTGCTATAAATCATAAAGAATATTCGTCTCAAGAGCTCAATCTTTTTTTTTCCAATATCAAACTAGTCAACTTAAGCATGGAAATGTGGTTTAAGCATAATATATTTATCCCCAGAAATTCATCACTGCATGTCCCAATCAACAAGAAACCTCAGAAATCAATGTATAATGTAAAATCACGAGGCCAAAGAAGAATAAATTGCCAATTTAATCCAGAGGTGTTACATGGACATGATATTGCTGAGCAAGCTCTGAACTCTGAAAAAATGAGTCTGTGTCCATGTCAGAGTTGGACACCACAACGACACTTGCGATTACGTTCAATTTATTTATTTTTTTAAATTATTACGGGAGTTGACGTGTCAGTGTCGATCCAGTGCCCGTGCTTCATAGCAAGCAAGTGAAGGGCCCAACTTAAGGTTAGATTATAGTTTTCTCAATTATCCTATTGCATTGACAATTAAATTAGAGTAAAATTAAAATAATAAATTAAAGTAATTCTATATAATAACTTCCCAAAATATTTTGAAAAAAAAACTCAATCCTTAATCCAATAGTCAAAGATAGTTTCTACTGGTTTTGAAGCAATGAACAAAACCCAGATGCAAATATACAAAAAGCTACCTGCTTTTCAATACTGCGAAGCTCCTCGTGAAGTTTGGCTCTCTTACTGAGCAAGGAAGCCAACATAGCTGACGGATTCACTGTACCCTTTTGCCCTAAAACAACATCATCAAAGGTTACGAATTGCAGCACCATTTTGAAATATATTTTCGATTAATAAATAAATTACGAAACATTTGAAGTGTAAGGTAACGATAATTATGGTTTATAACCTTCAGATTCCATTTTTGCTGAACAAATTATTAGAGGATCCGATCAAAGAAAACCCTAAACCCCAAATTTTTTTCCAGTTTCTCTCTCTGTTTGTTTCACGCGCATTCGATTTAGGTTTTTTCTCAATCAAAACTGCGTCGTTTTGATGTTGCACAGTCCCCACGTGTTTCTAGTGTTAATACTTACGCTCTGCTCTCTCCATTCCTATATATAAATAAATTTTAGTTTTTTAACTTCATTGAATCTATAAAATATAATAAATATAATAAAGTAAGATGAGTTTTAGAGAGAATTTGCCATATGTTTTTTTTTAAATCTCATATTATTTCTAATTATTTTATTTAAAGTAGGTAGAGAGATCTCTTTCTTTCTTTTTTTCTTCTATTTTTTTATTCTTTGAATCAATCGATTTCCATATTTTTTGTTAGAAAATTGTGGAATTTTTCGATGTATATGATATTGAATGTATATGATGCTGAAATATTTTGCCTTTTCGATGAACTTTTTCTTCACATGAAATTGTAACTTCTAAGCTTCTCAACGAATTGAATGATGTGTGGTACATGATGAAATTTTAACTTGAAATTTTTAATCCAATGAATATAAATGAATGTGGAGTTGCAAATTGTAAATTTGAGTTAAATGGATTGCAAAATTGAAAAATTGAATTGTAAATAAAATTTATTTTGCAATGTGAAATATTGGTGACTTTGAATCTTTACCATCTGCAACAGAAACATGAATCAAAATGGGAATTGTGTGGTGGTTCCATGTAAGACAAAATATGTTTAACTTGAAATGAAATTTGACTGTCAAATAAAAATCAAGTTTAAAATGGAATGCAATTAAATTAAATTTGAATTTGGATGGAATTTTGAGTGAATTTGAATTTGGATGGAACTTTGAGTGAATTTGATATAGATGTCTCATATAAAGGGGTGATAGTTTATGTTCTGGACTGGGCCCGACTGGCCCAATAGCATTGATAAGGCCCAATCCAAACGGACTTGCTGGGGGCCACGCCAATCAAAGGATCACAATCGTGTCCGACGTGTTCCCCGGGGCTACTTGCTCGACCTCCTACTGTCCAGCTCGACCTCACCTCGAGCACCCCTCCTAGGGCAGACTCAGTCCACTGCACTCTCAACGGGACTCCGAAAAGACCGCGTCTCTGTCCGCCCGCACTTCACCCAGAACATCCAGGGAGGGGACCACGTGTGGGTCCCCACTACGCACGTAGAACCTGGCAGTTCCTCCATTGGGCCAAACCTGCCCGGCCCAATGAAGGAACCTTGGCCCAGCGCTGGGGGCTATAAATACCCTCTATTTCCAGAGGGTCAGGTATTCATCATTCTATCCATACTCTTACTATTGCCTGCTCGTGCTCTTACTCACTTCAGCATCGGAGTGTCTTACAGGTACCCCCCCCCCCCACCTCATTCAAACTTTCAGCTCGGAGCCAGCCGTGACGGTCCAAGTCTGATCAGGTTAGATCAGTGGCGCCGTCTGTGAGAAACTAGCTTCCCCGTCTTGCAAACTCAAAGACCAAAGCTCAAATTCAACTACCTGTCATGGCTGATCCAGCTCGCGATGAGCAGAACGTCCGTGTCGCCGACACCAATAACGGCACGGCGGACAAAAACGGACATCTTGACAACGCCGGCAATCCCGACCACAACTCCATTCCTGCAACAACCGCCCCCGGAACTTCCTCCTACAGGGACGGGGCTACTGCATCATCCTCCTCGCTCCCACCACCACTCGAGGACGACCCGACGGCTCTCGCCCACTACAGAGCCGCCCGGTTCCAAGAAGTCCCTGTCCCCTCCGGGGCGGATGCCACAACACAAGCGTTGTTCGCAGCAATTAATCAAATGAACTATCTCATCTTCGCCCAAGGAGAGAGATTAAAGGCGCTTGAAGACGAGCGAAGACCCCCGAGGAGGCATCGGAGACCACATACTCCCCCTCCTCGAGTGACTGAAGCTCGACACCCCTCTCCCCCGCAGAGACACTACAGGGAGACCTCTCGAAGCCCATCTCCCCGGCCAAAACAGAGACGGCCTTACCTGGAGAGGCAGCCCATCATTCAGGCCGGAGAGCCCAGTCGCGACCTGGCGGTACTAGAAAGAAGGCACTCCGGAGATGGGCGCGTGAAATTCAACAGCCGAGCATCCCGCTCGAGAGAAACTCAGCACGATCTGGACCGTCGTGCCAGAAAATATTACAGGTCCCTATCTCTGTCTCCGGAGAGAAGCGACGAGGATGACCCCCGCGGTCCCCTGTCACAGGCTATTATGGAGGCACCCATCCCCCCGGGCATGGAGAAGCCCCCTCACTTGAAGGAGTACGATGGAGTCGCGGACCCGGTCGACCACATAGACGGGTTCGAGGCTATGCTTCACTATCACAATGTCGGGGGGCCCATCAAGTGTCGTCTATTCCCCACGACTCTCAGGAAGGCGACAATGGACTGGTACAAAGGACTCGCCTCGGGCTCAATCACGTCGTGGCGGAACCTGAAGAACCAGTTCATCAGTTCCTTCACAGCTTCTCGGCGCCATCCGAAGACCGAGGCGGCCCTCGAGGCCATCATCCAAAGACAGGATGAAACCTTGAGGGAATTCATCAACCGCTTCAACCGGGAAGCAATACAGGTCCCCTGCGCGGACCATATGAAAAGATACTTGCTGGAGAGAGGGCTCCTCCCCGGCACAGAATTCAGAAAGGCCGTGGGTATCGAGCCACCTCGGACATTTGATGCCCTCCTCGAAAAGGCCCGAGCATACATGGACTACGAGGAGAGGGAGGCGGCCAACAGAGCCCGAGATTCCAGGACTCGTGGTCCCAACAACAGCAGCTCGCGCCAAGAGGCTCCTCCTCGACGAACCGGGGAGAAAAGGAAAGAAGACAGACCCCGGGAAGTCCGGGAACAGAGAGGACCTTCGGGGCGTTTCACCGAGTACACTCCGCTCACGGCTTCCCGCGAGCGCATTCTGGCGGAGTGTGCCAGCACGGATTTCAAGGACGGCGGTGTCAAACGTCCCCGACCTGCTCCCGCCAAGCCCGGAGCAGACAAAAATAAATATTGTCAGTACCATAGGAGCCATGGTCACCTGACTGAGGATTGCGTCCACCTCAAGGACGCCATTGAAACCCTCATCAAGGGAGGGAGGCTCGCGTAGTACCGGCGAAACGACACTCCCCGTCATGACGCCCAAGAAACCAGAGAGCCAGAAGAAGACGCCCGACCATCTGACGAGTCGGTGCCCATCGAAACTGCCTTCTCTGTGACCAGGCCCGAGGATTTCGACTTCCCCGAGCACCTGCAAGAGCCACTTACAACGCACAGCAGGTGGGAATACTTCCCCTCCGCCCTGGTCATCAACGGCGGCGGGTTCAACGACTTGACCATCAATTCAGCCAAAAGGAAGCTGGACGAACTGGTCGACGCGGCTCCCCCGCAAACAGTGACGTTCGAAAGGGTGAAGGGCAGGTCGGAGCCCATTACCTTCTACCTGGAAGAACTCCCCGGCGGAGCCCCGAACGCGGTCATCCCCTTACTGATAAGGGCAAGAATGGCCAATTTTGATGTACATCGCATCCTGGTCGACAAAGGGAGTTCCGTCGACGTCATGTACAGCTAACTGTTCCGGACCCTTCAGCTGGACGACTCGCATCTTTCGCCATATGTGGGTTCGGACTTACAAGGCTTCAACGGCTCGACCTCCAAACCCTGGGGATATGTCGAGCTTCTGGTTACGTTCGGGGAAGGGACGACTACAAGACAAGTCAAAGTATGCTTCCTTGTCATCGACTGCCCGTCTCTGTACAACTGCATCTTGGGGAGACCGACACTGGAAGAGCTGACAGCGGTACCCTCGACCGTCCACCTGAAGATGAAGTTCTACACCAAGAGGGCACGGGTAGCCACTATCCAAGGAGACCTAGCCGCTGCCCGCAGGTGCTTCAACGCTGCTTCTAAGGGACGTGATACCGTCGACATAGGGACCAGAGCCGCCAAAAGGACAAAACAGGAGCCCGACAGGAAAGCATCCCCCGAGGAAGAAGTCCAGAAAGCTCCACCAAAAGTCGATTCCATAGCTCTGGACACCCGCTTCGACCAGGATGAGCCATCCAACAGCGAGCAAATCCCACTCCGACCAATACCGGACGGGGATTTTGAACTCGTTCCCCTCGGCACAGACCCGACCAAGGGAGTGAAGATTGGCAAAGACCTCCCCGACTTGGCCAGGAAGCAAATCAAGGCATGTCTACGCGAGAATGCTGATTTGTTCGCCTGGAGCGCCGCAGAGATGCTCGGACTCGACCCTGAGGTCGCCTGTCACCACCTCGCCATTGATCCAGCCGCTAGGGCCGTAGTACAACGTAGGCGTAGGCAGTCTCCAGAAAAAACGGAGGCTGCTGAAAAAGCTGTAAAAGACCTCCTAGAGGTAAATTTTATTTCTGAAGTCCGGTATTCCACCTGGCTGTCAAATGTTGTACTCGTGAAAAAGAATAATGGAAAATGGAGGATGTGCGTTGATTATACCGATCTCAACCGGGCTTGCCCGAAAGATGCTTTTCCCTTACCTAACATAGACATGCTGGTCGACAACTCGGCCGGCTACAAAACTTTGTCGTTCATGGACGCCTACTCGGGCTATAACCAAATACCGATGGCCCTGGGCGACAAACACTGCACGACATTCATGACCAGCTCGGGCAACTATTACTACAACGTAATGCCCTTCGGACTGAAAAATGCCGGAGCAACTTACCAGCGCATGATGAACAGAGTTTTCAACAAACAGATCGGCGACATGCTCGAGGTATATATGGACGACATGATCGTTAAATCCCGAGCAGACACCGACCACGCAGCACACCTCAAGACAGTCTTTGCCCAAGCAAGACAATGTAAAATGAGGTTCAACCCCGAGAAATGTACGTTCGGGGTTAAGGCAGGAAAGTTCCTTGGATTCTATCTAACAGAACGGGGAATCGAAGCC